TTTCTTTAAGAATCGCATAAGAAAAAAGGGCCCTTGGTCTCGTTGGACAATGAGGCCGCCATTAATAGAGGTCGCTTACAGAAATAACGAGCACGCCCTCCATTTGCTTGCTATTTTCTATTTCTTTATTTTTCCAAATACATGTGGGGTGGCTTTCAGGGCTAAAACTTGCGGTCTGCAGCTTGACAGCTCTTTAGCACGTGCGTGAGTAGTATTTCTAATGGTTAAAAATGACTGCGTATAGGGAGAAAGAAAGTAAAAAAAAAGAGAGAGAGAGAAAGCGAACTCTTGCTGCTGAATGAGCGCTTCGAATGTTACGCTCTGAGAGTGGTGGTATGGAAGCTCTTTTGCATTCCTTTGTACTGCTAGCCACATCCTTGAAAAATACGCTCGCAAGCTGCTTTGCCCCAGTAAATCAGTTCTGTGCTATACTTCTTGTTCATGAAAGAACATGTTTAGAAAGAGAAACTGACAGCATTCCAACTTTTCGGCAAGTGCGCAGCTTTTCTTCTAAGAAATCTGGATGAATTCTCTTGTGGCTTATTGCTACAAGCAGCTTGTCAATATCCCTTTCTCTCTGGTGTGGCTTGCTTTATTCTAGGATTTGCTCACCTCGGCTGCTTTTTGTTCGATGCTTTCTCGTTGTTCTGTCCGCAGTGATTTCTCGACTGGAGAAAACGGTCGTACAACTTTCAGTACGCGCAGTACGTACATGAATATATATTAGTTGTGTGATGGTGTATTGCTGTGTTCTGTATTGCAAGTCCTGTTCGGGAAAAACACCCGGTGTTTCTTTTTGCCATTTCCCAAGTAATCCTGAGCTGTGTGCTAAATAGCAAAAGAATATTGCGAGGGTCAACCTCATTATCAACGACAAGTCTGTATCGACTGTCGTATGCAGCTGACACTTCGTCGATGAAGGCTATGTGCCTGGGCGCCGCTTCAGAAAACTTCTTCTTGACTCTGCGCCTACTCTCTTCGAGGACTGTCATATTTACTTATTTCCAAGTGCAAGGAAGTCTCGCAAAGGTCTTTCTTCACGAGCTTCGCCCCTAGGTTAAACGTCAAGGATGTGAAAAGCGGAAACCAGCAAACCAGATCTGGATATTGCGACTTCACAATTATGATGCTTTCACTGATCAAGAAGCGGTAAGTGTTTGCGCGCAAACAATGAACACCGACGCTCATCACGCGGGTTGATACCTAGCTTTGATAGGAAGATAGTGCTCCGAAGTGTCGAGTGATTGATTGATATGTGGGGTCTAACGTTTCAAAACCACCATATGATTATGAGACGCCGTAGTGGAGGGCTCCAGAAATTTCCACCACCTGGGGTTCTTTAACGTGCATCCAAATCTGAGCACTCGGGCCTACAACATTTTTTACTCCAATGGAAATGCAGCCGCCGCAGCCGGGATTCGAACCGGCGACCTGCGGGTCAGCAGCCGAGTACCTTAGTCACTAGACCACCGTGGCGGGGCGCTCCGAAGTGTCATACCATCGTTCAAAATGTTATAAGGTGCAGCAATCGCTGAAAGAAGAGTAAAATGCGTCCGAATATTATTGCGTCTGGAAAGTAGATTTACTTCAGTAGTGCCAAACAACTGGCACAAGTCTACGAAAAAGTCTGACTTTGACGAAGTGACACAGACTGAAGTATCCAACGTTATTAAACATTTACCCTGTGCGTCTCCTGGCCCAGATGGAATCACAGTACCCATGATTAAAATTCTGTTCAATTTATCGCCTCGAGACGTCGCCAATGTTATTAAACTACTCCTTAAAAACTCATGGGTGCCACAGGATTGGAGGATGGCAAAGGTGATTCCTATACTAAAAAATCCGGGTGTAGGATTAACAGTCGATAATATCAGACCAATCTCTCTAACATCTAACATGGTCAAACTAGTAGAGAGGGTCCTACATAGCCGAGTAAGTATCTGGATGGCAGACAATTTCGTAATAAAACCGAATCAAATCGGCTTTTGTAGTGGTTTCTCTATTTGGTGTGCCCATGCTGATTTAGAGAGCCGAATACAGCTCGCGCAAAAAAGAAGGCAATACGCTGCCTTTAGTAACGCTTGACATAGTTTAGGCTTTTGACATTGTGGAACACTTGATATTGTTAAATACGCTAAAGAGATTGAATTTCCCACAATATTTTATTGAGTGGGTGGCAGAATTCTTAAAATCAAGAAAATTCTACTGCGTCAAGGATGGATGTTCCTCATCTAGATTTAAACAAACGCGCAAAGTTCCCCAAGGAGCAGTCTTATCTCCAGTATTATTTAATACTTTAATGAGCACAATTCCAACAGATCAAGAAGTTACTGTCTACATTTATGCTGATGACATCGCATTCTTTGCTGCTGACTGTGGTATTTTCTCACTGCAACTTGAATTACAAAGATATATTAACATGTTAGAACTTTGGTTGCAGTCGATTTCGTTATCGTTAAATTTCAACAAAAGTGCGCTCATGGCGTTTCCGCTTGCAGAACCTATTTCACTTTCAATTCTATATAAACAGGAACCCATCAAGCAAGTAGACTCTATAAAATATTTGGGAATCATTTATAATGACAAACTTAACTGGAGTCCACACATAGAGTATATAACTACCAAAGCACAGCGGGCTTCAGGCTTACTACACAAGCTAAGTAACCGGAAATATGGGTTACGGAGGCACACCTTGATAACGTTGTACAGGATTTATATGCGCTCCATCATGAAATTCGGCTGCATATTACTCTCGGGTGGCCCTGCGTATAAAACGAAACCTCTAGTTGTCTTGGAGCGAGAAGCACTACGAATGTGTCTTGGACTCCCTAGATTTGTGGCTATCAATGTACTGTACCAGGAAGCGCGCCTGCCTACACTACTTTGTCGATTTTGAATTTTGACCGTACAAGCATTTTTAAAATTTTATAGCTTACCGGCAAGAAGATCTTAATATGCTTTAATCGCAAACCCAGACGCCTTCTTTCTTGCTCATTGGCCACGGTTTCACACACCTCAGATAATGTTTGTACAAAAGAATCTACAAAGTATAAATGTGAACATTAGAAATGTAATTGAGACTAATGACTCAAATTGTCATGTTATTATTGAGTATGATGATATATTCCCTCAAAACGCCAAGTTACAATCTCTCAAATTTTTAAATAACATATTATTAGATTACTTGGAGCATGCAGAAACTAAAAATATAATAGTCACAGATGCTTCCGTAAATAATCAAAAGGCAGGTGTTGGCATTGCCTCTGATTCGCTTGACTGGTCCTTTTCAGTGAGATTGCCTGATTTTACTCCAGTTTTTAAAGCGGAGCTTGTGGCGATTATTTTAGCTCTTCGAAAAACTTCCATCAAATCAAAGCAACGCAGTCATAATGAGGGATTCTCTTTCAGTTTGTGCAGCTCTGACAGCTTCAGAGAACTCTCGAATTCTAAGCACATTCAAAACATTAGTACCCCCGCAGTTGAGACTTCTGAGGTTACTATGGGTTCCGGGACACTGTGGATTAAGATTAAATGAATTGGCCGATTCCTTAGCACGAGCCGCACTTGATGGGCCAGTTTTGTCCATACTGCCAGATGTTGAATATATCACGGCAATAAGATATCGAAAATCAGCAATCTCCTCTGATACGATAGAAAAAGTAACTACATGGACAGAATATAACCACCTCATGTTTCCATGGCAACCCCCACTGGAGCCAGTCCAGAAAGCTCGAAGTCTTAATTACTAAATTTCGATGTCGTGTCCCCCCCCTAAACCTGTATCTACACAGAGCTGGTCACACAACATCACCCCTCTGCGCATTCTGCGGAGAAATGGAATCACTAGATCATTATTTTTTGTATTGTCGCCGCTACGAGATACTTAGAAAAAGGTTACTAGTTATGCCATTTCGGAAAATAGGCCTTAGATTGACGGCGGAAACGGCGCTAAGCTTTGGCGCCTCAGCTTTGGGACATTGCCACAGGGATGCTTTCAATGCCGTTTGCGATTATATTCAGGCAACCAAGCGTATACCTTTGTGATCTTCAATCAACAAATTATTATTTATCACGCCCCAGGGCAGAGTGAAGTAAACGCAGCTGAGTGGTAATCATAACACCTCAAATCTCAAAATTGCTCAACTTGACTTTTTTTTGTCGTTTGCTCTTTTTATGTTATTTTTTACATTAGTCTTATTATAATACCAATTCATTACACATAGGTAAAATGATCACAGAAAAACTGCACTACACTTTCTTGGCCAATCCCCCTGAGTGAGTATGAGCCATCATCCCAGGGAAACAAACAAACACCACACATAGGTTAAGAAAATCGGAACAGATATGCTCAGAAAAAAGGTCGTGTTTCCTTTGCATCAAATATGATGTTACGGAAAAAGCATTCTTTGTACCCGGAATAAGTTGTTAGGGGGTGTGCGATATGGCGCTTATTGTACGCGTTCTCTGCTTTGAGGATGTTATTGAGGAAGTTCTGTGTTGTTGCCTGCATTAGCGTGGATAAAATCTCCCAGGTCTCCAATATCATCCCCCTCTGGACATTTCGTCCCCACTGGTGGCGCATAATTTGATCTTGCATACGGACAGTGGTTCCAAACCTTTTGGTGTTCCCCTTTTTTCTTGTTTTCTTTCGCACACTTTCAAAACTTCTGCTGCCGCACGCTTCGTGGCCGTCTCTCGTGGTTATTTGTGCACTCCTCGTAGGTCCAACCAGCCAACCAACTAAACCTAACATTCAAACATGTTAGACCCGCTTAAGAAATTGGATATAGCGTTGAGAACGCTCTTGTGGCTAGATGTTCGCTTGCCGCGAGGATAACAAAATAAGTGAGGTGTAAGAAACGCGCCAATGTGGTAGTATTGAAGGGTGAACATCGCTGCGTGTGATTGTATGCGTGCCTTTTACTGTCCCGATCTTTCACGCTGCTTCTTCTACGGTGTGATAGTGGTCGCCGACTTGCCGCCGCCCTTTTATATCGCAGGCGACGACTACATCTGGGGTCTAGGCTGTCAAGGCAAGCGCTGCCAGGGTGAGTGAGTGAGTCAGAGAGAGAATGAGCGCGCAAGAAGGGGGAAGGGGCCTAGCAACTGGGGCGTCCGGGCAGCCGGTTGGCCGTGGGTCACCTGACTGGGCCGACGCTGGCGCCGCCGCCGCCTCGGCTGGGCCTTCTTCTCGCTTCGTGCCGAATGGCGTTGCTCGGTGGCCACGGCGTGTGACTTGTGCCCGTGGGTTGTGTGTGCTGTGCGTGTTGCAGAGTGCGGGGCATCGTTCCACGCCGGGTGCTCGGGATTCGCCGGGTCACGTCCCTGCCTACCGCCGAGGGAACCCGCTGCTTCACGCCCTGGTGTCTTCTGCAGCTCCGTCGTGAGTGTTCTCTCCAAGCACGTTACCCGCGTCACGTAATCGGGGCCGGCAAGGTCGTCGCTTTAACTTTCGGAGCTCGTCGCGCTTAGTGCAACCCGTCAGCCACACTTGAATCAAATTCATCGGCTATTCGACCCTGAGCGTAAAGCCGATCTGCGCCGCAACCTAACCCTTAGAAGTGCGCTTGCCTGGGTTCGTTGATTGCACATAGCGAGGGGGTTCCAGCCATCTACTTAAACGAGGACGGAAAGACAGACGGCACAAAATGCGAGGAAAAGTTTAAGAAACTGCTAGCTCAGCGGCGTGTCGTCTGTCCTCATCCAATTAGTTTGCTAGAACTAGGATCACTTAGCCTTTTCCATAACGTGCCAGTTTGCGAACGATCTCTAGCGAGGATGGTGTCCGAACGTTGCGCAACAGCAAGACTACGCTTGTGAGAGCCACTGGAGCGGCGGTGGCGACCGAAAAGCCTCGCCGCCTGATGGCGTCGCACTGTCGAAACCCGTTGTTGGCATGTGCCCTTTTCGTGCTCGCACGGGCATCGTGCTTTGCGCTGCATTTAGTCAACAAACCCGTTAAACGCGGGTTCTGCCCGAAACAAAAACTTTCCCCTCACACGACCCTGGGGGGGGGGGAAGACATGCCGGGACAGTCGTATGGATGTGATGATAGGTTGATGAGTTATGTGTGACAAAGCGCCTTCGGCGCCGCGTTTCCTTTTCATCTGACAACGGCATCAAATCCCGGCCGCCGCGGTTGCGTTTTGATGGATGCGAAATGCTTGAAGCTCATATGCACTGATTTACGTGCACGTTAAAGGACACACCGGACGGTCGGAAATTTCCGATGCCCTCAACCTGGGCGTCCCGCATGTCGTTTTGGGGCTTCAAACCCCACATGATTATTGTCAGCTCGACGCACCGAAATCTTGGGGCGCGCCGCGTAATCGAAAATGCGGATGCTAAATGTGGATGTTAGTTACGTAGGTGACATAAGTGTGCCGTGAGAGATTAGAGGTAAATTTACGCCAAGGTACTTGTAGCATGAAACACTTTCTAAGACACTATCATTAATTATTTGGGAACATCAATAGAACTAGAGGTGCGAGAAACGCGCATTACCTTGCATTTATTAGCGTTAAGTCACATGTTCCATCTAGGGCACCAGAATGAAACTTCATTAAAAACGTTGCAGGAAATGAAAGTCAGTATTAGTGCATGCATTTCTATAACGAACAGTCATCAGCAAATAATTTCTACGATTTTCTACGTCGGACCATAAGCGCGAATGGCGGCTCTCGTTAGTTGTACGGTCATGGCATTAAAATGTCCGAGAAGTTTTAGAGTCATGTCCTTCGTGCCGCGCATGACCCGCTGACGTCGCCGCAAAGCAGCAAGCTAAGTTTTACGACAGCAAGTGAAGTTGAAGTGCCCGCCTTTTTTTTTTTTTTTTTTTCCCGGCTCTCGTGTCATGCTTGCTGTATCTTTCGTGAACACGGCTGTGACTAGATGGGTAACTGATACAGCCCTTGGTGTTTTCTGTATTGTCGTGGCAGCCCACAACACAATACTTCGTACCTCGGTGACGCTTCCGTTGGGCCGCTTCTTTCATCGCGTAAAGGTAACTTTGCACAGCGAGCTTCTCGTTTTAGCGCACCAAGCTGAACGGCACGGCGCCTGAGTTCCCCACAGCGACTGCAGAACACGTTGCGCGCGTGTCGCACGCGCTCCAGTTTTGGCGAAACACACTCACTCGCCTGCAACTTCTACCACGTCTCTCCTTCAGTGTTCCAGAGCTCACCGCCAGGGCCAGACGTGGCGTTGTCATTGCTCTGCAAACTTTGAGCGTCAGTTCCCTATAGTTGTGACCCCCAAATACCGCTTCTGCGCGAGACACTTGCACCACGTGGTGCAAACAACTTCACAGGGGGTGTCAGCACCCCACGCACGGTACAGTTTGAATTGAAACTAGTTTTAAAAGCACACTTTAACTACTCTTTCAGGATGCACTCATGATTAGCAGCAGATTTTCTAGGCTTTTGATGGTGTGAATTTTCATGTGATGCAGAAAAACAACTGATGGAGAAAAAACATTGCTTGTCGGGGGAGTTGGAATGAGTTTGTCTGCTTTTTGCGCTGCACTACATGGTGATTGTCAACTGAAAACGTTCGTGTCAGTACCTTTTTAAATTTCCCCGACTTTCCTTGATCTGGTGCAGTCCCTCAGCGAGTGGAGCAGTGAAAACGTGCAGGAGTGGCTGGCAGCCATCAACATGCTGTCCTGCGGTGGGGAGGCACTGCGGGAGCTCAAAGGTGCAGACTTGGCCGGCCTGGATCGAGAGCGCCTGTGCAGCCTAGGCCTTAAGGAGGAAGCTGCCCAGGACGCCCTGCTGCGCTGCTTGGCCGAACTGTGCCGTGCAGCCCCTCCTCCACCACCGGCCGCGTTGGTCGCCTCAGCCAGCCAGCTCCATCAGGTACCTTATTCTAGCTGTGTTTTTGACCATGTCGTATTTGATGAGGACATGGGCTGAATGTAATGACGACGCGATTGGTTCATATGGTTCACCCTGCATTCCCTGAACTGTTTCATTGTGGTGGCGTCTGGGTCCCATTATCTTGTTGAGCATAGAGTGACTGATAAGTAATACAGAGAGAACTCTAGTGTTAATGAGAGCTGCAACACACGGTGTTTCAGCCAGCATGAGAATGATGGTTAGTGCATGGATTTGTTCAGTCTACGTTCTTTCAGCTCTGCTTCGCTCCGTGTGGCCTTAGTCTGCTTTGCCGCAAGACGAAGTTATGCAAAGATTCAGCAGATATGCTTTATCATCTCGACCTTTTTACGCTCTTCTATTCAAATTAGCTCAGGATATTCACAACGGCCTGTTCCTTTATCTGAAACAAAATAATACACAAAATTGAACAAAGCCACAAGTGCGTTCGAAGCTCGCAAGCATGAGAACTAAGCAAATAAATCCGTGCACTGCCTGTCGTTCTCATGGTGGCTGAACGATCCCTGCACCAGATTTTCTTTACGAGGGGGGGACACGAGTCTGTGAGACGAAAAAAAAATTGTTTTTGAAAGTGGCATTATCATAAAATACAAACACTGTCACATGTTCTGACAAAGTTTCTCGCATCGCAGATGAATATTTAGGTCACAATATCAGTTTATATAAGCACCATTAGCTCTATGTTTTGAGTGAAAGAAGCGCAAAAATGGGCTGTTTTTCAAGCCGCGATGCCACTGAACCGCGCAAGCTGTCGCGACTATATTGGTCACGTCAGAAAGAACTATTTTTCTTTTTGAAGTTGTGGGGTCTCGGCGAGGCGAACGAGCGCATCGCCACGCCACGCTCTTGGAGTGAACGGACACAGTGGACACGGTCGGTACAAAGCCCACAACATACATACATTTATTAACTAATTTAGACGACGATATCGTCCGCCGAATGATACACCAATTTCAACTAACACGCTACCATACAAACAACATAGCGCAGGGACACACTAAACACACACTAACATGATAAACCCACCCTAACACACCCAACACACTAGCACATACCCAAGGCGGCGTCGCCAACGTCTGACCTTACACGCGGGACCCCGGCGCGAAGCCCGCGGTGCCGAGCACCGGGGACCCGCGCTACAGACAACCGTTCGCGGCAGCCGCCACGCGCAGAAGAGGCTCGCTCAACGCTCGCCCACCGCCAAGGCCTGCCTTCCGCCAGGGGCCACTGCCGGCGCTACCGCTCTACCAACAGTGGTACTCAAAAAGCGAACACAACGCCATCTATCGCCCGGCGGTGGTCACCACCGAAACGAAGCCTTGGGGCGAGACACGTGCGCCACGCGGCGCAGACAACTTTACAGGGGGGGTGTCAGCACCTCCACAAAGTTCCTGCCATAATTTAATTCGTATGCCTTTTGTTGTGTAGTAATACTGTGTAGAGCAGTGGTTCTCAGCCATGGATGTGTCGGGGGCCCCTTGTGGCGTTGTACAAGTGATAGGAACCTCTTGCGGGGGGGGGGGGGGGCATACATAGGTAAATTAACACAACTGGAGCGTGAAACATGTCCCTCTTATTGCTACCGAAAACATCAAACTTTGCACATCACTTCATTTCGGACAGTTCATCAATGCGTGGCACAGTCGTGCTTCAACATACTTGAAGCGTGACATTTTTTTTTAGGGGGGGGGGGGGGGGGGGTGTAAGTGGGTGAGGCTTTCGCGGATCACAGAAATTGCTTTGCGGACCCCCACTTGAGAACCACTGGTGTAAAGAAAAAGTCCCAGTGCGACTCCGTTGGGGTATTCTGTGCACATGACTAAATGCAGACTTATGGTCAGTGCACCTGGTTGGTGTCGTCTGCTGCCGCGCGTCGATGCACTTGAGAAGCATACAGCGACACCATTTTTGAAATCGCTTGCGTGCAACAATGTCCGAATATTGCAAGTTCGCCACAGGAATCCAGTTTGGCTAGGAAAGAAAGCAGACGCGTTACAACTTTGAGAAACACCCTGATCATGTCAAATATCTTTGTTTTACCATCTTTGTTTTTTCGATCAGTGTTGCCAGGTCACACGAGCGTTCTTTGGAGTTGCAAATATGCGGTGACAATGCAAGAATAAATATAAGCTCCATTCACGAGGCCACATTGCCCTTATTTTTTATGCCTCCACGCTACAATCGAAGTAGTTCCGAAACAATGGCAATAATTTTCATGCATACAACTATTATCTTGAACTATTTAATTGATATTCAAATAAATAAATCACAGCTCGGTAAAGAAACTTGAGAAGGTACGGAGTTCAGTGTCAGCTTAGCAATAGCGTTATGTTGTTTGAATCTGTTCTTTAAATCAAAATCCCCATCGCGCTCATCTCTAAATCCTTGGAGAAGCATTGTACATCTATCTCTTGAAGGCGACGTCTCTGTGGGATACCTATGGTTGTACTAAAACAAACATTGCCACATGTAATGTAATGCTTGAAATTAGGCACCATTCTTTTGCGGTTTTACAAAATGAAACAGGGCCGTTAATCACATTTCATAATGTTCGCTTTTTTTTTTCGTTTTATGAAAGTTTCGCTGCCAGGTTTATTCGCTGTCTTCTGTAACTATGCCAACTGTGACCCAAGGAAAATAATGGAGAAGAGATCCTAGATCGACTTTGTAAATTTTTTGTGCTTGTATTGCCATAAATACCGAATGTGCGTCTCGCGCAACTGGGCTTGTTTTTGTGTTTGAGGCAAACGACAATGTTTCATTCGATGTGTCAATTGATCGAAATGAAAGTGCATAGCCCTTATTGTGTTTAACAGTGGAAGTCATTTCACATGTCATTTAGTTAATGCCAAGGTAATATACTGGCTACAGTGGCGGTGGCTTAAAGCTGTTTGATCTTTTTTTTCTTCTACTCTTGCACTTTATGTGGTTGTCACGATCCCTGCAACCCTGGAATATTGAACTTTTTCCAAGCGAGACTAAGTTTCGCTGGAGGTGTGTCTGGGCAAGCAAGAAGTTTTTCTCTATCCAGTGAATGCGAGTGAACTGCAAGCCAGACTTTGCTTTCACAGAAGAGTGCAGTGCATCCTTCATGCTTTCTTTCAAGGAACTCAAATTTAATATAAACAAGTTATCATTACATAACATACATACGCAATGCAAACAAAATGCAAATAAAAAGCTACAGAAGAGTAACACTTCCTAATAAAATGTCCTTGAGTACAATATAATGCCATAAAAAAGAAATATTCCCTTTTTTTCTTCGCTAGTTTTAGCGGCGTAGTTTCGGTCAAGATCACAATCAGTGCAACAGATATTTGATTGCTGCATCGATTACGATCAATGCAGTGATAATATATAGCTTGCCTCATTTCGCTGCTAGGATAATCTCACACTGTGTTTTCAAGCAAAGGGGAAATCTCAAGGCAGAAATTTTAAGCAAGAGTTTGGAGAAATCAATTCAGGCAAGATGGCACAGTGTGTCACTAGACGCACGTCAAATTAATCACACACACCAGGTAACCGCAATGCACTTTTTAATGCATACAGCACTACATATTTTCCCAATCTAGTTTGTTTTGTTTACTTAGGTACTGTGTCACGCGAGCAGGTTCTGTTGGTTGCTTTTTTGTGTCAACTCTCATCTGCATCATTTACTGGCGGACAATACAGTGCATATTGCAAAGGATCACCAAGGTTTCCATGTTGCGACAGCCAAGTAACGCACCCGCTCAAGCACATGTGGCAACCCTGATGCCATGGCTTTAGCGGGCGGTAAATCACAAGACGTGCACATTCCGCAAGACACAGACGCTCAAATTCAGACCGCGACAACGCCTTGCCGCAGTGGTCTAGTGGCTAAGCTACTCCGCTGCTGACCCGCAGGTTGGGAGATGGAATCCCGGCTGCGTTCTCGATGGAGGTGAAAATGCTGTAGGCCTGTGGGCTTAGACATGGTGGCACGTGGTCTAAATTTGCGGAGTTCTCTACAACGGCATCTCTCATAAGCATATGGTGGTTTCTGTACGTTAAACCCCACATGTCAATCAGACTGCGACGGCAACGTTGAGTGGTCACCCTCACACGATATGCTTGGTGCATCCAAGCAACACAGAGGATACAGTGGAACCCGACTGTTACGTTTCTCACTGCTGCGTTTTCTCAACTGTTAAATTGTCTTTCATCGGTCCCGGCTTAGCTCTCATAGAATTTTATGTATTGAAACCCTGCTGTTACGTCACACCTAGTCTGCCGAACCCGCCCGGGCACCGCCATTTTGATTTGACGTTTGGCAGTCTTGGCCTAGCTTGGCTATGAAACACACAGGTGTAAGCACAGGTGCTATCACCTGTGCTTACAACAGAAGTTTCACTACGTAATGCCGGAAGTGTGCGGGAGTCCCACCGCCACGCGTTGCGACTCGTCTTCAGTCGCTGTTGCGTGCGCTAAGCCTGTTACCGTTGAACTTGTCAGCACAATTTTTTGTCAAGCCTTAATGGCATCGCGTGAGCGGAAAGCGCTTTCTCTTGAGAAAAACCTGGGCTTACTTAAGGGGGGGCGCGGCAAGTAAAGTGCCGATTTTGGTCAAAATATGCGATTTTCTGATTTATTTTTTTTCGTAATCTTCAGACCTTCAACTTCCTTGTTCTAAAATATTACAGCGAAACGTGCGCTACAAATCCCGCAAATAGTGTTTTTGCCGAGGCTAGTCGCCGAAAAGTGCGAAAAAAAAGCCCCTGAAACGGTGTTGTTCACGCCGCACAAACGCGCCAAGTTGTTGACCGTGGGCCGCCATTTTGGTAGCTTTGGAAAGAGGAGAAAGCCGGCTTCCCGATGGTCGCGGTCTCGTATTTCGCCGAGTGAAAATAAAAGCGCGAGGAGCAAGTAAAAAAACGAAAACGAAGAACGGCAATTGGCTGCGCGGGTCACGTGGTAGCAGGCGCGACCTCTTACTGGTCAAA